TTGTAGTTTTAACAGCTTAAACAAATCTCCTCATTAAGAAGAGACCTCATACGGAGTCGTCTACTCACACCTTGCTGCTGTCTCAACTCTGTCTCGGCACTCGCTCTTCACCGTCTCACTCTCGCTCCTCTCCTGTTGCCACTGCGGTTTATTTAGCAACGCGCGTGACTGTGGCAGTGGTTGAAAACAACTTTAAAACGACAAAGATGATGTCATTGAGTTTTGTCCGTCAACTGGCAGCCTGCCGGTACTGACTTTAAAGAACGCGACAATCATGACCTCACACAATTGGTTGACTCAAAACAAACACCGCAATTAGGTCACGGGAGCCGCCATTTCTCCATTGTAATTGGCACAGCAACGGCGCAAGCTAACATTAGCATGCGTGTTCATCGTGCGTGTTCTTTATCGCCATCTATAAAGACATGTTTGAATGCATTTGGTGTGCAAAACCTTCAGCCAAGGCTGAAGCGCGACTCATTTTCAGCCCTGGAATCGCAGGGCTCGGCCCATTAACGGCCCGCTAACACTCCACTTCCTGTTAGCGCTCTTATATTGAAACCTCTTCTCCCCATTTCCGGTGCACTATGTAGCGGACCGATGCTAACTTTACAATCGGCACACAGCTTCTGCAATCGGAGGAGGGTTTCCCCATCAAGCTTCGTTGCCATGACAAGAAACACTTGTGTTCCTCTTTAATATGTTATTTTGTACAGACGGGATGTAATATAGTTCCAGTGTCGTCGTTTTCAGTCAGTGCTACTTTTGGGATAAAATTATTACAACTTGGGGACCCCCTTAATGCAGCCAGTGCTACATGTAATAAAACGGCCTGCCTCTGTTTGTTATTAATACACCGTACGAGAAAGTGATATTTGGATTCAAGCATTGTGGTTGTGCTATATTTGCCGATTTTTTTAAAAAAACGGATGCGCAGCTTTAAGGAAACTAAGGTGTGGGCAGAAGTAGCAGCCCAAAGCAGAATATACAGCAGCATATGGCCCACCGGGAATTTGCCCAAACGTCTAGATGAGTCACTCCGGGCCTGGCTTGAGCATCCTGACATGACACTTTGGGGATGTGATGCTCTCGTACAACGGTGAACCCTGACCTTGCAAATGTCCTTCACTTCTGGATGAAGCGGCCGACAACATTCCGGAATCTTGTCGCAAGTCCTCCCAGTGGAGAGGAAAGCGGCAGTTATAGCGGCAAAGCACCGCATTTTCTTCAAGTACACACATCCCTTGTGGCGGAGAACTGCACATGCAAAATACATGTACGCTCCATCACATGGTCTCGCCGCCCCCGCACGCCTGCTAAAAGTCTTCGCGCGGTTACGTAAGTTTATACTTCATCAGATGTGTGTATCGAGCGCCTAACAACGCAAGGCGAACGCTTTGATTCGGTTCATTAGGAGAAGCAGCGACTGCAGAGCGGAAGAGGTCCTGATATCAATTAGTCTGCACAAAACCAGAAACGGCAGTCAAACAACAGCAGGTAACGAGAAGTTTGAAAGCAAAAGCGGGAGGCGGGGGAGACACCTGCTTTTTCACCACTTTGGAAAAGCAAATGCGTCGAGCAACTGACTTTTCATGTTATTTTCTCCTGTTCTCAAACTCCTCCACCATATTTTTTTTTTTCATTTTCTCGGAGGCTTCAAAGATGGCACGAGGGCCGCTGCTCGCTCTCAAGCTAAACAGCCTTTTTTTTTTTTTTTTAAACACCTCACAAGAGAGAAGCAAGCGAGTGCTCGGGATGGAAAAGCCGAGCAGAGAGAGGTGGAGGTGGTGGCTTGGAAGAGGGGAGAAGGGGCAGGAGACATTTTCTGCTGATTAAGTAAGCGTTTGCTTCGCCTTCCATTATTTGACAGATGCATCAGAGCAATGAGCAACAAATGTGAACAAAGACTCCAGCGGGGGATCGAAACACTGCAACAAAAACGACCACTTCAGGGAAGACCTTCCTGTCCTTTGAGTTCACTTTTTTTTTTTTTTTTTACGCTCGGACGTTATTCTAACGTAGTCTGACGGTGGTGACCTCCCCGGACTCTGCTTCTATCAATGCGAGAAAAGGATCGAGAACAGCGGACGGCCTCCCGTAACCGCAACTCCTCCTCCGTCTTGGCGCAGCATCCAGCTCCCCGCCACAGAGGAGGCACCTACGGGAGTCCTGTGGAAGTTTCTGCGTGGGGGGCGGGGGGTATGTGTTGCTTACACAACCTCTCAAAAGGCGCAGACACACACAGAGGCTTTTCGTCTATCAGATTCTGGAGGAGGGAGTTGGACAAAACCAGCAGAGGGAATTTCACGCAGGCAACGCGCCGGGCGCAACTGAACCGAGAGCGCACGCCCGAGGGGTCTTCAATTAGACAGTAAATACCTCGGCGAGTATCCAGGGGTCCTAATTAACTTCAGACTGTTAAAAATGGCCGCAAGCCGTCTGAAGCCAGGGGGCTGACTCAGGACGTGCCTGGTTTGAATAGACTCAGACAAATTTTCGCGTGAATACCGGGATACGCCTCCGCTACGTGGTGCAAGCGCGGACTGGAAGGGGAAAAAAAAAAATGGAACCACCGATGTCATACAGTTTGGAATTTAAGCTTGAGAATTCAATTCGGCAAAGAATAGGAGTTGCAATGTCACATTTCACAATGTGCTCACTGAACGTCAATTGACCCGATAAAGCCATTATGGTGAATGTCATTCATACACATTTGAATTTTTATGTTGCGCGTCCAAGTTACAACACAAATGCATGACTTGTAATAGAGTGGATCTCAAAAGTCTACACACCCCTGTCTTTTTTTTTTGTGTGATATCAAAAATATGACCAAGCTAAAAACGTTTGCCACCGTTCACATGTGATTTTTTTTAGCCCCACAACTTCCGAAAGGGGAAGTACAAATAAACAACTGACAAATTGGTTGCAAATGCGCACACGGTCACATTCAAACTCAAGTTAATTGGGAGTCAGCTGACACCAGCCAGTATTTAGCTCTTTCATGCATCTTAGAACCTGACAACGTGACAAGCTGTCCACTGTAGTAACCGCTTACCCTCAAAGGGTTAATGCGTCTCGGATTACCTCCCCAAAAAGTTCAGCTGTTCGGGTAGGCTTTTGGTTTGCGGCATACAACAGAAGCAGAGCGGGCTACTGGTGATATTGTGGGCGTATTTATGGTGGGTAATAAGAGAGACGAGCTACGAGCTATCAGTCGAAGCAGTATGCAGTTGCAGCAGCAGCAGGAGGAGGAGGCGGAAGACACGGATCAAGAGAAACGGTTCAAATGATTGCAAAATATCCATCTGCTTCTTCGGTAAGCGTCAGTGTACACACAAGTGCATGCAGATCAATCTCAGCAGCGGAGCCAGTGACCTTTTCCTAAATCTCTACTGATACACACAAAAGGGCAAGCACGGAGACGAACAACGAACGCACGCATGCACAAGTACGAAGGAAAATTCAACACTGTTAAAAATGTATCAAGCCTACCATCACATACTTTCAAGGAGTCTTTGTATTGCAAAGCTGCATTTGAATGTTTTGTACTGGTGCCAGCAGGGTTTATTTTTAATAAAACGAAACAAACACGTGCAAGCAGAAGGAGAATGTGCAAGAGGCAATAAAGATCCCCGGCAACGAATCTGTCAAGGGATCAGCACATTTATTGGGGAGGAGAGCTACGAGCTATCAGTCGAAGCAGTATGCAGTTGCAGCAGCAGCAGGAGGAGGAGGCGGAAGACACGGATCAAGAGAAACGGTTCAAATGATTGCAAAATATCCATCTGCTTCTTCGGTAAGCGTCAGTGTACACACAAGTGCATGCAGATCAATCTCAGCAGCGGAGCCAGTGACCTTTTCCTAAATCTCTACTGATACACACAAAAGGGCAAGCACGGAGACGAACAACGAACGCACGCATGCACAAGTACGAAGGAAAATTCAACACTGTTAAAAATGTATCAAGCCTACCATCACATACTTTCAAGGAGTCTTTGTATTGCAAAGCTGCATTTGAATGTTTTGTACTGGTGCCAGCAGGGTTTATTTTTAATAAAACGAAACAAACACGTGCAAGCAGAAGGAGAATGTGCAAGAGGCAATAAAGATCCCCGGCAACGAATCTGTCAAGGGATAAGCACATTTATTGGGGAGGAAAAAAAAAAAAGACTAATCAAGCCTGATTTTTTTTTTTTTTTAAATACTTGAAGGACCTTTGCAGATTTGACATTTGCAACTATGGAAAAGAGCTGGGCCGAGACCAAAGATTGCGGGCAACTGAAGATTGAAGTTTAAAATAAATAAATAAATAAATAAATAATCATTTCAAATGTACAGAGGGTGCAATATTACACCACGAGGTCATCGTTTCGGCTGCTTTGATGTGTGAAACGAATAGCACAAGTGTGCAACTGTTGACGAAGCATGAAAGACAAATTACAGAGCGGCAGTTTATGCAATCAGCGGCATACAGCGCGACAAGAATGAGGCAGTCGATGGCAACGACGGCAGGGGGATTTATGAGAGGACTACCTTAGGCTGTAAAAAAAAAAAAAAAAAAAAAAAAACAACTACTAAAACAATACAAGCTATATAGTCACAAGCACTCCTGGGAGCAAAACGTGCAGAATCTGAGCTGATGTAGCATTGCAATTAAATCGGAGAATCAACAAGAAAAACGGAAGGAAGGAAGGAAGGATGGGGTTCGATTTTGGTGGCGCAACCGATAACTGGTTGGAAATGAAGGAATGAATCTCAATGAAATGACCATAACGCCAAGAAAACAAAACAAAAACAAAAAAAAAAAAAAAACATGGAAGCAATAATAATAAAAGACAGAGTGAGACCTCTGGGGCCGAGACGCATCAGGCGAGGCATCGCTCCAGCCAACAGTGGCTGCCTCCAATCCAGCCTCACAAAAGCACTTGCACATATGCGGAGGAACATCCTGAAATGCATTATTTGCCCCCCAGCGAAAGCCCTCTGCGTTTGATTACCCATTGCTCAGTCTTTCACACAGCACACCTCCTCATGCCTTCAGGGCTCAACTCAAAAAAAGCCGCATCAAGTACAAACAGGTATCTTACCTGTAAGGTGACCAGAAACTGATTTTTATTGTTTTTGAAAGGATATGGGTTACAGACCATCTTGAGACACCAGCTCCGAGGACGGGTGCTCTGTTTCATGTAGAAGAAGACCACCGGGGCCAGGGTGGGGTAAGGTAGACTTTCCTCGCCGCAGGCTGACTCTTCATCCCCGGCGGAAGAAGTCCCATCAGGAGCCGGGGAGGCCGGTTCCACCATCACCTCGGTCCGTTCCTCACCTCCTCCGGCCACGTCCCCGGATAAGTCGTTGAGCCGGATGAAAGTCCTCGGCAGAGATGAGCGGCCCTCCGAGCCCCTGGAGTCAGGGGTCCCGGAGAGATTCCCCCCATCCTCTGCCATCATTCCCCCCCTGTGCGGATGAGCGACCACAAGTGTGAGTGTAGACAGACTCGACATGGGAAAACCGACAGCCTCCGAATTGAAATCAATACAAAAGGCAGGGCAGATTACAAATATTGTCCTAATATAGTTGAAAATGTGACAAACAAACATCGATATTTGTCGGTTTTAACGACCTAACTAAAATAGACGCCATCATTCCAGTGCTGTCTTCAGGCGCATCTTGATGTAAATTGGTTTAAAAAAAAATAATACTAATAATCACCTGATTTGGACTCGCTTGATGCCTCCAATGCGCGTTCAGTCATCGCATGATCAGTTTGGTGGCTGCAAAGTCCACACCAGCTTGCAGAAAGAACCTTTTCTTGCCGAGGAGGGTTTCAGAAAATCGATGTGCTGTCGGGTTTGGAGGATCGCAGAGTTCCCAAGTGGATATCTGGGCGCACTTGGTCCGTCTCTGCAGCCTCAGTGCGGTGCGCAGAGAGGCCCCTGAGCGGAGCCCCGGTGCTCAAAGCTCTCCGCACGGGGATCACAGTAACACTGTATAACCATCCACCAATAAATACTTTGAACAGGTTTTGGGTCCGTTTCTGCAACGCGAAGCCTTTTCTTTGTCTTCGAACAACTTCTTTTGAATGCTTTGCTTCAGCCGAATCCCCTCCGAAAAAGGCTGAAACCGTTTCCGCGGGCTTTCCTTTTCTAAATAAAACACGCTCCAACACTTTTCATTGAATCCACGGGCGTTCTTGTGAAGCGCATATTCCGCAGCACAGTTTTAAAAAAATCCATCAAGAGTGTTGCCGTGCGTCCAGCCGAGCCTCACGCATAAAATCCGGCGTTCATTTTTGTTTTGTTTTGTTTTTTTTTTCTTCTTCAAACGCGACAGAGCATCTTTCGTCTTCGTCGCCGACCGGACACTGCCGCTCTCACCCTTGTCTCCTCCAGAACTGTGTTCTCTCGGTTCCGTCCATCAGGAAAGCTCACACAGCTGGATGGAGAGAGGGAAGGAGCGGGGGGGAGAGTCCGAACTTCTCAAGATCAACCCAAGCGCCTCCTTTCGGCCAATCAGAGCGCAGCCGAGTCCAAAGCTGGATTTTGATTGGTCGAGGAAGCTGTCGTGTCAAATGCGAAGCGGAGGAGAACGGAACTAAACAGCTGGAAGCCTATGTCAACTGTCAGCCAATGAGGAGCGAGAGAATGGTGGCATTTTCTCGGAGGCGCACTGCGATTGGTGGAGAACTTTATTACGAGGGATTTGGAGAAAGTAAGAGTTGCCGCCACATGGTGCAATGGGACTTTTATTTGTTGGTACAGCGATTAACTGAATGATAAAATCGTGGTCCTTGACGTTCATTTATGTATATTTTTTGACCTATTGATTCTGAGACATAGATGTAGACTAACAAGATCCTTCCTCACAAAGACATTTAAATCTGACTCATTTTCTACAGCTATTAAGTCTAAGAACGCAATATGATTCTCAGAGTCCAATTCATTTTGCTTGATAAACGATCGGTTCATTTTTATCCCCACAAGCCTGTAGTACACTGGAAAAAAAAGTTTTTGTTGAATGTACAGTACTCCATTTTATTTCATCAAGTGGTTGCATGGGTCCAAATACATTTTTCAAGTAGATATTCAGTCACCTCAAAAACTGGATCTGGATACAGATGATTTTGACCAAATCCTGTTCACAATTATTTTTTCTGGTGTGCTGAACTTCAAATGACACCAAAACAACCCGACACGTTATTGATATTTTTCATTGCATAATATTGTCTTAGTTTACTACTTCCTTTATTTTTCTAGGGTGCTGTTTTTTTACCTTGACAACACAAACTCGGAGTTGCATCTCAATTTCTTTGCATTTGCACCCAATGTTATTTGCTGCTTGGGCCAGGTAGACTTGCATAATCTGAACACAATGACAACATCTTTCTTTAGAATAATTATGCCTCATGCCTGTGGTCATTTTGCTATTCCGATGACAATATATATATTTTTAGACAGCTCATGCAAAAACAGAAATTGCCCGCCTTCGGCAATAGTAGACGATGCAGAACTCAATTCAAATCTGAGCAGTGTCGTTTCACATCAGCGGGCTATGGTATGTATGCCGGTGGCCACTAGAGGAAGATGTTTCCTCAAATCGCCTTTGCAGCTATTACGAAAATGAAGAAAAAATAAAATAAAAATAACTTGCCCGAGGTAGAAATGATGTTCGGTTAAGTTGCTGTGTCTCACGCATTGATTTTTGTCCCCTGTTGCATGATCAAACATGAATTGGCAATATTGTACATGATTGGGTCACGGCTACACATACAGTTTCAACCCTCTTTATTTTTCATCAAAGGTTATTATTATTGATTTGAAAGAATGAGCAGATCAATGGGAATGACGCATGTCCTTTTTTCATAACATCAGCAGCAACTGGAGTGCTTCAGTGTGCAGTCGTAGTTATTAATCACCCAAGACATTATTTTGCATACTCACGTTCTCACATTTGATCTTTAAAAATAAATAAATAAATAAATAAACTCCACAAGCAAGAAAGCACAGTAGAAAGACCACAAGAGGTCGAGAGTAAGAATTGGACTCTTTACCGTGGTTGTCAATAGCGCCCGTTCAGACTGATTAGTTAATTGTGCCATGTCTTAACAGAGTATTGATCCAACATTGCTTCTACCTACTTGGCAGCAAAGGGGCGCGCGCCTTTTCTGATTAGCTCGGGCAACAAACAATAAAAGGCATGTTTCGGGGGTGAATTGCGCCGGTAATAACATTCATTAATAAAAACGCAGCAACAATTAACCATCTATTATTCATGCAATGGAGCAGAGCAGCGGTTACACAACATTGAAGGTGTGGCAATTTCATTTTTATGATTATTTTTTTTTAAATGAGGCTCATGAGTGTTTTTTTTTTTTTTTTTTTTTTTAAACTTCAAACAAAAAGTTTGTACCTTCCTCAGCTGGCCATTATGAAGAACTTACCTGTCAGTGGATTCGGAGGGAGTTGGGAGGGGAAGACTTGTCACTTGGAGGTCGCCAGGAGACTTTTATCAATGCGCACGGCAGCTGCTGCTCCTTGGCGTTTCTGATAGGAGCAGAAGCAGCACCAAATTAGTGATGATGGAGGGACTGCTGTATACTGAACCACCAACCCCACATACTCCTGATTCAGCATTAGAAAATTCCACCCACTGTATTTACGGATTTTTGTCCTCGAAAGGGTTAATGATAAGCAGACCGAACTTTCGTTTTGATCACATTTTGTCTCGATTTCATTCTTATCGTGTAAAACTGAACTGCGATTATCAGAGGAGAATTTGTCATGCTTCTGGAAGATTCTTCTTTCGTGACCAGGTCTCTGGTGGGGTTGCCCGGCACACCAACAGAAAACCCGATTCATGTCAGTCATATTGAGCATCTTTCATCCTCGCTGACCCTCGGGGCAAAGAACATTGTGTTCCGCGTCAAGTACTTGCCAATTTTATGAAACAAACTCATGCCTACTAGATGTACCTGATACTTGATCATGACTCATGATCCGGCGTCATAGCACACACCGGTACTGTATGTGTGATTTCAATCCATCCGCGATATTGAATGCTCATTAGTCCCTCCCCTACAGGAAGAGGTTTGTCCAAATGCAGTAATTACCTTATCGATTATATTATCTCTGCCTGCTCAGAAAATTCCGCTTACAGTTTCAGTGAAAATAAAGGCCCAAGCATTCACATCACAGTTCACAATAACTCCGCTGCAGCGAGGAAGATGAAGAAGACGGTGCCAAGTCGATCAAAAGTTTGCAAAAAAAAGGCAACGCGGGAAAAATTTGGGAAAAGCTAAATATACAGCAGCTGTAGCTCAGGTGAGGTTTGATTGACAGGGTATTGATTCGGAGAGAAATTCTTCAATGATATACGTCGGAGTACGCAAGGTGGGCCTCAAAAACTAAAAATGGTCGGGTCTCTGGTGTGCTTGCTCACCCACATGAGCTAGTTATGGCTCTGAGCGCACATAGTTCATTCGCAGTCTGCATGGGGAGTCAGAAGTCGCAAAGTATTGTGACCTCTTTAGTTAACTGGCAAAACGGAACGCGTTGACTAATCGCATGCTCGAGCGCCATCCCGTCATCATGGTAACGGACGCTGTATTCTGCATTTGCATGAGACAGAACCTCCCCCTAAAACGGTGTGATTTGAACCAGTGCATGACCAGTGCTTGTTGTCAGTGAAGTCATTCTTTATTATTTGTGTATTTTCTTTATCCAGATTCCAAAAGGATATTTTTTAAATGCGGGAAGCGAACATGAAAAAATAAATAAAATTAAAAAAAAAGCTCCTTGATGCCCACCCTCATACAGGAGAGGTGCACAACAGATGCAAAAGAAAAATTTACTAACTGGGGAAAAAAAAAATACAAATGACATTGACTGCATTTAAGCCGTCGCGAAAAAAAAAAAATACAAACGACATTGACTGCATTTAAGCCGTCGGATGTGTCGTCCAAACAAGAAAATAATGCATTGCACTTTGTGTTTCTCATACAGTGTGCGATTATGTGCGTGGGAGTGTGCAATGGTAGGTCAATGGTAGGTCAACAACAGTAATGGCCAGAGAGAAACAAAGATTAAAAAAAAAAGTTTGACAATTTTCAAGTCCAGGAATCTGGATGCAGACTCAGTCGTCTTTCTATGTGGAGCAATAGTTTCAAGTGTTCAAGAGCACTTCTCTAAGTGGGGGTGGGGCTGGGGGGGGGGGCATGCAGATGACACTGTGCTTTCAAATGAGAAAATAGCAAAGAAAAAAAGTGTAGCAATTTAAGCCTTAAGAATTACTTTTGGACATGTACAAAAACACTGTCAAAGGTTTTCTTTTTCTTTACAAGCACTTCTATTTTAAAATCATTTTGTTACTTGTACATCAACGCAAGTATTTCATTGGTCCTTTCAGTTGAGTGTGAATTGTTTGTTTTTTCAATAGACTTCACTACAAGTATAATGTGACTTGTACTAACTTTGGTCAAAGTCAAAAAACAAACACAAATAAGACCAAAGAGCAAAAGTGATGTGGATGCACTGAAATCATGTACCTCTACCAATTTAACTGAACAATCTAGCACATTAAACCAAGTTGGACAAATTTTATGCCTCCAACTCGGATGCACACAAAAGCAAGATTCATAAAAGCATGCTTGGGTAAGCTTAAAGCAAAAAGAAAAAACAAAATCTAGTTTCAATGAGGAAAAAGTCAAAAGCGGGCATAGGCCTCAGCAGGCCTTCAATGCCTTGACTCACCAATTGTTTGTCCAATTGTTTGTCCATTTTTGCCCGCTTGATAAGTTGATATCCAAACTCTCCTTTGACGTCTCCAGGTTCAAAACAATCCAACAAATGTCCAAATAACGCAGCGAAAAGCCGTCGCTCGCCGAGAGGCCGACTTTCATGCACTCTCCATTGCTTCCACCGAGTCCTCACATGTGACTAACTTGTGGCGGCCATTTTACTTTTGACCCTTGACCTTTTGCAGGGAGTGCACACTTCTAAGTGCAGTACCCATACCTGGCCAGCGGGGGCATCCTAATGGTCTGCACCAGGTATGGGCAACTTCAATGATGGAGGTGGCCACAATTTGTTTATCTGCTCATTAAAATATACACAAAATACATGCATACATTCAAAATAAGTGCTCTTAATGTATTGCATTTTTAAGAATGCATTTTCCAATACATGTATGAAACATCCACTCTGCTTATGCCTACAACAAAGTGTTTAAAGCAAAAAAACCAAAAAAAAAAAACCACATTAACCACTATTGTTTTTTTCTTCCCAGGCCTTTATTGCAGAAAAAATACAATTCAAGGTTGGCACTAAATTGCTGTGCAAGTGACCAACATGAAGCGCAAGACCTCATTTTGTTTTTTTTTTCCTCCACCAAAAGTAAACCAACTCAAAAACATAATATTATTGAAGTACTGTTTACGTTTCTGAAATCAAATTATTTGGCTTTTTAACAACTCACGGATTTTTTTTTTTAAATCAAAATTAATCACTAACTTTCCTGTGGTTTTTTTTTTTTTTTTTTACATTTTATTTCCCCAGCCAATCATCCTGAAGTGATGAACAAACACAATTATCCCTTGTAGGGAAAATAGCCCAAACTGTAAGTTTGAATCACTGCTTGTCTACGTGTGCCCTGCGATTGGCTGGCGACCGGTCCCGTGACCCGAACAAGAACAAACACTTTAATTGAAGCGACCTTCCAACTCCTTGGGTTTTGCTGTGCTCCAATCCGGTATCCAACTCGGGTTGAGAGGCTCCTTCAGGAGGGGAAGCGAGGCTGAATGTGGCCCGGCTCTGTCGCCTGTGCTGTCCTAAACATCCAAGATGCAACCAGAAGACGACATCTAGAGCAACGGGGGGAAATGAAAAGGGAGAACATTTTTTTGAGCGGTCATGTAAATTCTCAGCAAACTTTTGTCGCTCCTTTCCGTCAATGTCAACTGTCACCAGAAGACGACATCTAGAGCAACGGGGGGAAATGGAAAGGGAACATTTTTTTGAGCGGTCATGTAAATTCTGAGCAAACTTTTGTCGCTCCTTTCCGTCAATGTCAACTGTCAGTTTTGTTCAAGACTTCAATTCAAAACTGGGGCAGTGGTAATAAGTCGATTCGTGCGTTGTGAGAGTGTGTGTGTGCGTGCGCACGTCTGTCTGTACTCCTGACCTCTGACCTCAAAAGTGATGTACAGCTGCTACCTGCCAATTGCGCCCGACGAGCAATCTGGTCATCTCCCTATGATGTCTACACACACGCACACACACACACACACACATACACCAGCGCAATAGAGCTGCACTTGATTGTACAAAGTGAAGATTGAATATAACACCAGGAATCTCCCATGCATCACTCTTTCGGACCACACCGAGTGGTCGATCAATATTTCCATTTGACGGAAAAATAGTGAGCGCAGATCACGTAAATATAGGAATGATTTATTTAATTTTTTTCTTGAGTAGGTTATGGAAATGTTCTCCCCCTTAAAATATCAGCATCTGTTCCACTGATGTCTTCCCTCTGATCTGTGTCCAGTTGACATTCCTGTCCGGTCAGCTTCACGGCAGTTTCTAATCAATGAGGCTGCCTAATTTTGAATCATAAACTGCCGCAACTGTCTGAGCTGGAATGGAAGGAAAGCCTTCTTGAAGACTGAATGGCCATCCTCTGTTCAGCAAGGAGCCTTTTTATTATTTGTGGAAGCGGAGGGAAAAAAAATATTAGTCTTTTCAAAGATCTGGATGAAAATTGTCGCCTCGGAACTGCTAGCCTCAGAGCCCGGATATTTCAGAATGTGTCTGGATTGTTTGGGAGACATACAGGATCTCTCGAAAGTCATTATGCGTGACATCATGTAGACCGCACCTGAATGCATCGAGCAACAAAGGCTTAGCAACCGTATGATTTGCTTTCTCAGTTAAAAAAAAAAAAAAAAGAAGGCTCAAAACTTTGAATCCACATTACACATTCTTGCTGTCTTGCTTGGCGTTTCAAAGGGCAGCCCTGTTTCTGTGAGTCAGCCCTCGTACTGCCCCACATCAAGGCAAGTATGGATTTTGTTACCATGGCAAGTAAGGGCGGAGCTAACAGTGGCTGCACATGTAGCCCAGACTATAAACAGTGTCTTTGAACATGCCAGACTTGCAGCATTCATTCGAATTTCCCGAGCAAGCGCGCACTAAGCTTATCATGACCTGCTTGACTGCAAAACTACGCAGACACCAAACCGCCAAATTTACACTCGTCGCATACCGTGCAGATCCTCAAATATGCGCCCTACTGTCGCGTAATCAAGTATGTATTGCTTACCAGAGGCAAAGGTGATGCGCTAAATCGAATCTGCACATTCAAAGACACACAGTGCAGCTCTGCTTACCTTTTGGCTTCAACAACGGCATCCACTCGACCTCCATACCTCATCAAAGCCTAAAACCACAACGCAGAGCATTGGATTGGATTGGATTGGATACAACTTTATTGTCAAATGTGCTGTATGTGTATGATGACCAGTTAAGAATTTTTTTGGGTTAAAACTGATATTTTTATGAACTCAAAAAATGAATGCGACTCCTAATGTGAACGGAACGCATCCGTGATGTCACGTGGCGGTGGCCGTGTTTCCGAAAATAAATATTCTCCCGCATGTAGCAGCTCATCTTATCAGCTCATATTGACAGAGGAGCAAAGTGGGAGGAGTTAGAAATATTTTGGCGATATGAGGAGACCCTGCTCAATTTTGTCAAACTCTTGACCCGTGTGCATGGCTGAATCATTCATCCATCCATTTTCCTACCGCTTATCCGGGGTCGGATCGCAGGGGCAGCAGCTTTAGCAGGGAAGCCCAGACTTTCGGCCGCTTGTATCCGGGATCTCGTACTTTCGATCACGACCCATAGCTCATGACGATAGATGAGAGTTGGAACGTAGATCGACCGGTAAATTGAGAGCTTCGTTCGTGTTTGTGTGTCCTTCCAATCTGACTGGCCTTCATCCTAATTATGAACACAATAGCGAGAAGCCACGTAAAGTGTTCCCTTCTCCTGCTGCAAAACATCCAGAAGAAAAATGATCCACAGCTTTTATCCATGTTCTCTGTGGTCACGCAACTGTTTAGAGAGTTTTAGATGTCTCATCAAAAAGGAATTCCACTTCCAGTTTATCAATCGGTGTTCCTCGGGGCCGGGATACCGCGAAGAAGTTTGCAGATGTGACCTAGTGGGGCTTTCGTCGAGGTTGACCCTTTGAGGGACAGCGGTTACTACAGTGGACAGCTTATCGTGTTATCAGGTTACAGGGGGGCATGAAAGGGTGAATATAGACCATGTTACATAATTGGGTAATATTGGGGAATTTTCTTATTTGTATTTTATTTTCAGTCCAGTTTAAGCCTAGTTCAGATTTGCTTCAGGTCAGCAGAAAAAAAGCAGAGTGAAAAAGAAAGCCGCAGATTGAGACCAGACATGGGTCAGATTTGAGTGTGATGCAAGAGGATCATTTGACGGGATAACAATTTTTTATTTGATTGCAAGGGCACCGTTAAAACATTTCATCAGATTGTAATGTTTGGTATTATGAATATATTTTCTTCAAATATTGACTGAATGAAAGCACAGTGATATTGAATACGGGCTATTTGGTAGCGCCCGTAAATTAAAGAAATCGGCGATGCAAGTGCAGCGGAATAAATCTGAATTAATTTCAGGAGTTCAAAAAGTGAAACGCATTATTTTAGAAAGGTTTGAATAATTTATATTCTAATTTCCTAATCTTAAATTCGAATTTGAGAATTCAGACCTGCAACTGGAGAAGAAAGTGGAGAAAACGGTGAGGGTGTTCAGAAGGGATTTAATGAGCATACCTTTTTCTCGGGTGCTTTCGCCTAACTCGGCTATCATGATGAACTAGTTTGCTCGTTGCTCGCCCCCCCCCCCACACCCCCTCCATCGCTCTACTTACCTTACATGCCGCAACACAAACTGGGGCCTGGCAACACATGATAAATCTAGAAACGGGGGAGAAGAGAGAGGTGGAAGAGTTCAATGCTGAATCGTTGTGAGATTTTTGTTCCGACATCATTTTTACCAGTGGAATCCTTTTTGGCGACATTTTGTGATTCATGGGCTTGTTCGATATAATGAGGAAGGTATGAGGTCAATAAAGCCTCCGATCAATTGCGCTATTTTACACGGGGCTCACAGTGTCATGAGCAAACTATGATCCATACACTCATTAGACACTTCATTATTTACACCTATACTCGAATAATGTTCATGATAAAAGCCGTAGGATCATAAAGTGTGTTTAAAAAAAAAGGTTTCGGAATGAATCTGTCAAACACAATACGCTATTCCATTGGTTTGTTTTTTGCAAGGGTGTACAGTACCCACGTCATCTGAAACTTTTTCCCAATATTTAGAATTTTATATTTTCAACTTTCATTATGGAACGATATTTACTTTTTTTTTTAAAAAATGTACTCGCTAAACAGCACGACCACTGATCGAAGTCTGCTGAGCTACTTTCTGGTGCGAAGTAGTAGGATGAACGATCAAGTAGCTCAACGACAAAAAGGAAGCGTAAGCATTCCACACGGCGCAACAAAGCTAATATTCTCAGGCAGTGGAATTACGCATAAAGTCATAATACAAAAATCAATCTGTTTTCAATGGCAACCCATCTCATATTTTCCCAAGCTTTGAAAATGACTGGCCTGATGCCCCCCCGCTGTTGCTTCCATCTGCCCTTTGCTCCTTATTTTCATCTCATCTTCTTATCATACATATGAATACTCCTCTGCCTCCTGTCCACCTCCGCCCGATGTATCGCGAGGTCATGTGAACTGAGCTGCAAAACTAACCAGATACCATGAACTGTTCTTTAACCCATTCAGGGACGGACGGACGGCGGCTACTGCAGTGCAAAGATGATCATGTTATCAGGTTTCCAGGGTGCACGAAAGGGTTCAAATCAAGTGATCAGTAAAGTGAGGATAACGCGGCGCTCGGATAATGTAACTTAATTAAACTGTGGCAACACCAATGTTTACTCGTAGGAAAACAAAGAAACCAAAATGAAAAAGCGCGCTTCACCAACCCATTTTTTTTTTTGTTTTGTTTCCCTATCTAGACAGTGACGATAACTCCATCTCCGCCCGCCCTCACGCCGACTGGTCGCCGTCGGCATCTCGATGGATGCACTCCGTTGCTCATGACTGCTTTTGTGATGCTCTTGTAGCCGACACAGTTTGAGCCATGATCCAATTCTGTTGTCTTGCTACGTCTGTCATGTTTATCCAGACCTGGCAAAGATGTCAACACTAAAGGGGGGGAAACAGGGCCCTGAGATGGCTCAGAAATGGGCTTAGACTTCAATTTCTATCATTTGTTGACATTTCTTTTTTCAAAGCGCCCCCCCCTCCTATTTAATGCATACAATTTGAATATTTTATTTCGCTCAATATAATTATTTCTATTCAACTGGTTGAGGCCCAGTCCAGAGCCTGCGCATCCCCCAAAGTCAACTGTGATGAGGCTCCAGTTGACTCATGAACCGAAGTGAGGACAAGCATTGCAGAACATGGATGGATAGTTCCTCCATTTAGCTAATGTGAGAACATTTCGCTCCATTTTGAACACCCTCTCATAACATATGGTGCCTTATTCTGAAAAATCTCAAAGAAAATTGGCAAACACAACATTTTTTTTCAATCTCTTTCAAAATTTGGAATTGATAACTCTTCCGATTCATTTTCATTCACACTCCCATTTGATAGGAATTCACAAAGTTTCACACAAAGTGCTTTTCGAAACTTTTTGAAATCAATCTTTTTTTTTTTGGGGGGGACGTGAATATAAAATGTTCCAAACATGTAAGAGGAAATGGATTCTTTTTAGACTCACTGAACGCTTCTCCTTTCTTGTCAAGTGTTGTAAGCCCCCCCGTGGCCTCATTATCACACAGACAGGCAAGAGACCCAGCAGCCAAATCTGGAAACAGGCACACGCACACAGCATAAGATAAAACTTTTTTTTTTATTTCCAAATTGTCTCATACTATGATGCAGGCACAAACAAATTTTCAGTTACAAAAACGGATTAAAAAAATAATAATACAAAATGCCCTACCCGGTAAAATGGGAGGACTCACCTTAAGTTGGAGTGATGATTCATGTTGCAGAAATAGTTTTTGTGACATTGTTGGTTTTGTGTCGCTGTCACTTGGGGGGTCGGGGGGGAGCAGATTTTCTCTCAGGTAGCTGCCAAATCGCGGATAGAGGAACTTGCTGTCATGGCGGTGTTCTGTAAAATAACCTGACTGTGTTATAACAGCACGGCTAAAATCTTAACAGATTCCTTCAAGAAATTATGAGCAGATCACAAAAAAAAAAAAAAAAAATTATCTGAAAATGGAGGGTGAATTTGCACCATGACCGAAACACAAACGATGTGAGACAGAGGAGGAAAAACAAAACAAAACAAAAAAAACCTCAGCGAGGAGGGAAACGCACAATGGCGAAGGTGGCAACTTTCCTCAGGCGGCGAGTGTTATACGGCGCTTCCTACTTTGACAGGATGAAACATCTTGTTTGTCTCCTTCGCTTCCAGAGCCCAGAGCAGGAACCTGGGAGCCAAACTCCCTCGCCTCACCATCAGCAGCCCATCTGTCTGCTTTCATACACTCGCATAGAAACACACACACACACACACACACACACACACACACACACACACACACATATACCCATACGCTGAACATTCCCACGTGGCCGTTCTCCCTCCAACACTAAGTCACACAGAGTTTACATTACCTTCATTCAGCCTGCTGGCATTCCACAGAATGAGAGGGGATTGCTCTATGTTAAGGAGTATAAATAGTCGAAAAGAGGGATACGGCAAGACAACTGGGACACAGTCACACTTCCTCCAGCTGGACTTTTCCCATCTGAGATTGATTTACACAAAGTAAAAAAACAGAATAATAATCTGATCTCTGTCAGATGAATGTCATATCAAAATAAAATACTCTAACGCAGGGGGGCCCAAACGTTTTGGACCGAAGATCGACTTTTCGAACAACCCACCTCCTGCAATCGACCAGTTTTATTAAGATTAGAAAAAAAAATGTTTTTTTTCCTCGCCAAAAGCAGCCATTCACCCTTTTCAGGGACAGCCATTACTACAGTGGACAGCTTATTCTGTTATCGGGTTTCAGGGTGCACAGAACGGTTAAATGAGCGGAATAAAAATGGCGACATTTAAATATGATTGTAAAAATCGAAAGAGAATCGAATTGGGGCTTGAGTCAATCGTTAACATCCCGACCAAAAAAGAGATTCACTCGTTGGAAGAATAATGAAGACAGCATTCACATCGGTAGTTCTCAGGCTGAAATAAAGTTGGGAGGTGTCACATTTGCGTTTCGAGACAGGTGCCACCATGATCCCCCCCCCACCCCATGGATGCCATTGCAACACAAACAGTGAAAACAAACTAGTCACTGCAACTTCACCCAAAGCAGCACACCCTATTTATTGATTCACCAAGTTAAAACGGGTCCAAAGACTCTCGCACATAAATATGTCGCATATCGTCTCATAAATCTCGACTGTCAAGCTCGCTCTGCTGACATGTGTTCAAGATTGCAGTCAATTGAGTGAGGGAGGGAGCAGATGGTGAAGCGTGGGGGTCTCGCAAGAATGCAGCTTGCCAACTTTGATGTGTGATTACACATGAAGTCAAATGCACATAACAATGAATGCCCCCCCCCCTCCACCCCCTCAACACAAACACACATTTCCAATGAGGGGCAACTGCTGCCAGATTCGGGAGACATCCAAGCTAAATAAAACACATTCAGATGCAAAAGAGCAGGTTCAACGTGAGGTTAAGCTCTCGTAAAAAGGGTGCGACTTCCTTCTGAGCGGTCACAAAAGGCAAGAAGCGCTACGTATTTACAATAAGATGTCGCTAAGGCTGAGTGCTTCTTTACAGGGACTTTTTGAGTTGCTTATAAGCTCGATGTGGCTGTTGAGGTTCAGACCGCGGCAGATATTTAAGGTATGAAGAAAGTGCAATAATTCGAGCTATATAAATACAAGTCGAATGTTGCGGCCAGGAAGGGGGGGGGGGGAATGAATGGATCAGGACCGCTTACTGGATACATTGAATTTAGTCATAGAAAGCTGAAAAAAAAAAAAGATAAGCTGGCCAGATTTGCTAAAAAGTGTTTAAAGCTCATTCAGTCAAGTTAAAAAAACAAAACTTTCAACTGCTCATTTAGCGTTGCATCTCCACATTGCCGTCCAGTAGCAGCCGGCGTAGCTCCTGGGGCTCGGTGACAGGCAGTGAGCAGGTGAAGTCCTGGCACACGTAGGCGGTGGCTACTCCGCCCTGCTGAGACATGGAGGATAGCGCAGGCAGACGCTGGCGGAGGAAACCGTCCGAACTGCCGTCTAAAAGCATCAGGACCTGCCAAATGGGCAATGCAGAGGAGGAAACATCAGACAAAAGGGTTCTTCAAATATGCTACAATATGACTGAGAGTGAACGACATCTGCACCTGAGACCAGATAAACATAGACGCAAATGTTTTTCAATGAACCGGGATGTCAATTTCCAAATAAATATAAATATACTCATTTGAATTTGACTTTTATAACAGGGTTCTCTTATTAAAAATCTGAAACTAGTCTTGAAAACGCTTCCGAAGGGCTAAACAAAAAAAGCAAGTCAGAGGGCGGCCATTTTGCCACCAGCTGTGGACTGGAAATGACATCACAGTTGCTCAGTCGTTTCGACTGCCGGTGTTTGAAGGCTGTCACGGCAGCGGGGAGGTATTTCTAATAACAGGGCTAGCATAAGTCACCATTCGCTCATTAAATATTTATGCTGCACCATTTCATTCTGTTTACAGACGGTGGCAAACATAAGCAACTGGAGGCACAGGAACTTATAGATTCACACCGGGTGCTATTGACGGCGGCTGGAAACATTTCGCAGACGTTTCGACACACACTGGGGAAGACTGTGTGGTGGGGGGGGGGGGGGAGGTGCGATGGAATGTGTTCAAGACGGTGTGACTGTTGCTAAGGAGACAAGATGAGGGTTTCCATGACAAGTGGAACCTTTGCCTTTTTGTCCTGACTCTTTTTTTTTGTTGTTGTTGGCTTGTCAGCATCATGTTGTCTCCATGGGGGGGGGACCAGAGCACACAGAGCTACACATCCTGCAACTTAAAGGTCATGCTACTGTAATGTCTGAGTCACAACTCGATTGAAACACCCATGGGGGACAACAAGATTGAAAGTAAAAAGGTGGGGAGGACGGATGAGACGGATGATGATTTGAATTTTACAATAGTTCATCTCTCAATCGCCGGTCATGTTGGAATCATTTCATCCGATCTGAATTAGCTGCGCAAGCTAATGCTAACGCGAGTAACATTTAGAAAGTAGGAGATGGATGATGATTTGAATTTTACCAAAGTTAATCTCTCAATCACCGGTCATGTTGGAATCATTTCATCCGATCTGAATTAGCTGCGCAAGCTAATGCTAACGCAAATACATTTAGAAAGTAGTCCACTTGTCATTAAAATTAAAGTGGAAATATCACACAGTTTTTGTAAATGATCTGTTCTGAACTCCCGTTTGACATCTGTCATACTGAGCACAATAATGCTGCCAAGAGATGCTTCAGTAACCGTTGTCTTGTAATGTCGCGCAATTTCCTAAAACTGACATCACAGTAGCCTGGGCCCGATGTGAACAGCAAAAACCACAGGTGTGAATAGGCTCTCACACATTTTAAAAAGGAGTTAAAAAAAACAAGTATGTGTTTACCCCCACCTTAGGTTGGAATAAACATAATTTTGGGTGTCCTTCTTTCGGGTTAGATTTACGAAAATGACTCATGAGATCACGTTGGTTAATGCATGCCGAGCGGCTGCGTGTGAAATCAGAGCAGACATTTGGCGACACATGAGAGCAGACTAACTTAAACCTACATCAACACAACTCCCACCCGTTAAATGTTCTCGCAAGTGACATCTTCTTCCCACTCTCCCCTGCGCGTTCTGCCAAACCAGCCCCGGCTAATACGCAACAAACAGAACAGAGAGTGCACCTGTGTTGAAAGCGCACCCATTTTCAAGTCGACCGTTTCACCTGCTCTTAACTTCAAATCAAGCGACGGCACAACTGAGAGGCTTGCCCACGCGCCGACGCCGAGGTGAAAGCCGCGCAATAACACGCATGAAGCTCAATGACGGTGGCTCTGAGCGGGGCGGGGGCGCATGTGTAGCAGACCATGAGAACACTGACTTCCTCAACCCATCCCTCATTGTCCCTTGCTTTGCCCGTTTCGCTCTAGATATGAAGAAGCAGCCCAAGTCATCATAACAACCGGGCATCTGGACTCCAGCCCTCAGGACAGATACACACAC